GCACAATTAGCATTTTAATTTTAGTGATTTTTTTAAAAAATTTCAACTGTCCGGTGACTTTTGATACCCCACTGTACGTGCATAATAATAAAGTAAAATTCTGAATATTGCTAAGTGTAAAGAAGAATCTACGAATTTCAATTTTCACCATGGTTAAGGAAGTTAGCATTGACCAATCATGTGGCTCTGTCTGAAATAGTTTTTAGGGCGTTAATTTGATTTTTTTTTTATTAATTAATTAATGTAACTGCAGATTTGTGAGAGCAATTTTATTAAAAATAAGAAAAATACGCATCGTCTAACTGCAATTCAAACTTATTTATTAATTGAACTGCTGTTCCATGATGAATATTAATTGAAATATATTCTCTCATGTTATGATGATGATCCTGATGACGTCTACAATTATTTTAAAGTAATTGACTAAACTTTTATTTTTTAATTAACTATTTTAATTAATTTTAACGTTAAATTATTACAAAATCAATATGATATTTTAATAAATTTAAAGATTTAAGTTATAAAATAATAAAATAATACAAAGCTTATTACTTAACAATTTTTTTTTTTTTTTTTACAAAATTATTATTTAAAAATTGTAATAAATTTATATATACCGTTAATTCTTAGTATTCAACTTAACAAAATAATAAATATTACGATGAAACAAATAACTCAACATGTAAATATTATAACTAATATATTTATTGAATCGGATTATATGTAAATATTATTTGAAATATATTTATAGAAAATCGAACTCCATATTCTTCAATAACTTTAAAATGTTCGTCACTTAATCTAGATTGTCCCATACGTTTTACAATAATCTTTTTATTTCTTCCTCTTCCTTTACGGCACCATCCTTCAAAAAATTTTCTTAAACTATCAGCACTAAATATTCCCATTCTAAATTCAATATTTTCAAGTAATTCAGGTACATTCTCGGCCATTTGATATAATAATTCATTGGCATCAAATCTTTTTCCAAAATCAAATGAAAAACTTCTTAATTCATTAAAATTATTATTAAGAATTGCTATTACTTGTTCAGAACTTAAATTATATAAAGATAATTCTGTAATCTTTGTACAATAATTTAAAATTGCTGAAAATATGTCAAATGTAATTGCGGAATATAAATCTAGATAAAATTTTTTTAAATTTGAATTGGCTGTTTCGAGAATTTTTATAATAAATTCTTGAGGATACGCATTATTTGAATTTCCCGAATGAGTATAATGAAAACTACTTAATTGAGTAAATGATGAAGCCAAGAGTAAACAATTCGGATTGCGTAATTCAGAACAATCTTCAATATAAAATTCTTGAAGTGAAATAAATTGTCCAATTGGTAATAATTTCTGCTCGAATTGACAAAAATTTACTGAATATAAACGAAGTCTTTTTAATGTTTCTTTTTGACTAATGATAGCCCATAATAATGAATTACAATCTCGACTATAATGAGCAACAATTGATAGATTTTTTAAACGTTTTTGAACATTAATAAGTTTTACTAATAATTGCACTTGAGAATATGTGTCCAATTCCAAATTCATATTTAAAATATTATCACAAATTAACGTTAATGATTCATATAATGAACCAATCTGGTTATCATGTCTTCTTATTGTCGAAGTAAAACTTTCTAATTTCTTAAATACTTCCAGGGCACCAGGTAACTTGAGAATTAAATCAATTAAATCACTATAATTTTGAAACTCTCGAGAAAATCTCATAAGAACGCTCAAAGAATCCACAAATTTACAACGTTCAATTATTAATTTGAATATCTCATAAAACAAAATTCTCGATTTGATTTGTTGTGGATTAATTTTATATATGTAAATGAAATAAGCTAAATTATTAATTATAAATTTATGAACGAATGATGGATAATCAAAAGTGGCTTGAGGTGGTGATGATGATAAATCAAATCCATTTTGAATAAGTAAATTTCTAACTTTAGTATCCATACATGATATATAAGTTCGAATACATAATGCTTTCTTCTTTAACTTATCATCCATAAAATATTCTTGACCGAAAGGTAATTCCCAAAGTATAGGTATAGTAGCTTTACACCAGATTCGATTAACTAATAATGATGAATATAAATCTTGAGTTGATTGAACATTATTTAAAATCAAAATCAATACTTCTGTGGAAATTTTAGTTATCATTTTTTCTTTGTCAAAAAAAAAATAATCGTATCACATTTATATAAATATTTATGATTCAGTTCAGTGTGAAATTACACAGAAATTGGGTAAATATTTATTAAATATTATTGTTTCACATCAAATGACTCTTTTTATTGCTACAAATTTACATGGTATTAATGAACGTGAACGTTTTATATGTAATCTCCGAAGTTTCTTATCTTTTGCAACACTACCCTTCAAAATTTTTTCTTAGACTAATAGTTTCAAGTGATTTTGGTAGCATCCAATTCCAAAAATCTTAATTATTTGTTCCCGAGGTGTAACGTAAGACCTTATACTTTTACGACATAAGGTAGAAAATTTTGATGCCCTAGTTCGTTTTTTGATGTTTTATTAGTATGAATATCAAGATCATGTCACTAATTGTAAATTACGAAAAAAAATAAAATAATCACACTTTTTGCTCTAGATCAACTGTTCCAGTTTCTAAATTATTTATGTTAAAAAAAAAACTATGGCTCTTTTTTAAGGAAATTTGTCTTTTTTTTGGAAAAAGGAAATGATCTTTATTTCTGGTGAATTTTTTTTTATTATTTATTCTGCCTTGTGTCAAGTTACTGCATCAAGCCTAAAAGTTGAGATGCACTATGTGATTTAATACCTTTAAAGAGTTCAATAGATCGAAGTGTCGAAGCACTAACACAATTTGAAAATTCGTTTGGTGAAGGTTTAGATAAAACAAGTCTTTAAATTTGATAAGGAGATTAAAATTCGTGAATAATATTTTCATTCAAAAACCTATATAAAATGTTTGATGGAAGATCGTGGTATCGTATTAGGAAAAAGAGGTTAAATATGAAATTTCTCTTAGAAGATTCGTAAACGTATTGAAAAGGACAGCGTAAAAAAACAGGCACGAAGCATTCATTATTAGTAAAATACGATTTATTTAAATAATTTCTAGTCACCCATTCCTAATCACTGGTTTATTACTAGTATTTATTTATATTTGGAAACTGCAATGAGAAATTTATAATAAGGGATACCCAATAATCAAGAGAATTAAATTAAAATTATCTATTGTCACGGTCAGTGCAGAACGATAGGGAAAGTTACGTCAAATTTATTACACAACAAAATATTTCCTAATAATGTTCTCACGTAGTAAGATCAGGCATTCAGTCGATCTACTAACAATCAAAATTAATGTAGCTACGTGTAATATCTGAAGGTACTATGAGCAAGTGGAGTAAAAGTATCTTTATTACCGCTTGCACACTACCAAAACTGAGCAATGTAACTTTGCCAAGAAATAAAAGAAATAGTTTATTAAATTTTATTAAAGTTAAATATCTGAATATTACTATAGCGATATATTACTGCTTTGGCGTTATCTTATCACTTTTGTTATTCCGCTACACTAAATTATTTATTATTATTAGGCTTATTACAAATAAAAGTAAAAGTAAAACTAAAAAAAAAAACTAAAATGTTCAAGATAAAAAATAATAAAACTAAAACTAAGATTGTCCGAAATATCAAGTAAAATATTTTTATTTTGGTTCTTGCTCTTTTTGGCGAAAAGGAATCTCCTTTTTTTTTCTTTCTTGCCCGCAGCTATTTTATATATTACCTTTTATTTACCTTCATCCATAATCATGGGGATAAATAAACAGTTAAGGATGAAGAGATAATAGTGACACACATCTCATATTATCTCCCGTGATTTCGGTTAGTTTCGTGCCACCTCACTATAAAAAATGTGCGATATATCCGATATTAATAATGTCAAGTGTTATCTCTTTGTTTTAAAATTGTTTACTTTGCAGCGTTGCCTAAACTTCCTAAATTTGCTAAATTTGGGTCATATAGAATATCATAAATACAATCTAGAAAATTATATTCATTTTTTTGTGAAATCTTATTCCGGCAACTCACTAATATTTTGATTATATTTAAGCAATTTACATCGTTACAAATTTTTTTTTTTGAAAAATAAAAAATAAAAATAAACTTCTTCCGAATATACTATAAGCGAACAGAAAATGTCTAAAGTATGCTCAGAATGCAATCAAGAATATAATGGATGGTGGTGTAAACCGTGCAACTCAACACACTTAAAAATAATTGATAAATGAACAAGCGAAAATGCCACAATAGATAAACTATTCAAGATTCCCAACCAAATGCGATGATTCTGATAAAGTAATAGAATAGATACCTTATGACAGATTTCAAGATATTAAACAAATAGCAAAAGGCGGTTATGGTACTATTTATTATGCTATGTGAATTGAATATCAAAAATCAATAATGGAAAAGAAAAAGTCAATTTGAAGTCGTATTGAAAAATTTGATGGCATTGTAGATATGAATGAAGTTTTTTTAAATGAGGTAATTTAATATTTTGAATTAATATAATTAATGTAATTAATATGGAAATTTATTTGAAAATATACTATAATTTAAAAAATATTTGTTTAAATGACAATTCACTTGAGAACAATTAGTTTTTCATTTTATGGAATTACAAAAGATCCAGAAACTCACGAATATATGATGGTTTTACAATATTATAAAGGTGGAAGTAAATAATAATTTTGATGATCTCAATTGGGATAATAAATTAGAACATTTAATAGAATTAGCTAGAAAATTTACAAAAATTCATAAATTAGATATAGTTCATCATAATTTTCATCCCGGAAATATTTTAAAATATGGAATTGAGTAAATTAATTACAGAAAACGTAAAAAATCCTAGCCCTCAAAAGCATACCATTTCTGGAAATTATCCTATATATTCCTTAAGTATCAAGTGGGGGAGAATATATAAAGAATGCTGATGCTTATTCATTTGCATTTGTTGCTTATGGATTAATCACTAGAATTCTCCCATATCACGATGTGTCGCATGATAAAGATTTGGTTTTTAAAATATATAATGGCCTTTGGCCAAAAATTCCATTTCACACACCTAAATTAATTACACAAATAATTATGAGATGTTGGGATGCAAGAATTACACATCGACTCACTTTTGAAGTATTATATAAAGAGTCAAATAATACTATAATGATGGAGAAATTGCGATTCAAATTAAAGAAGCTGAAAATTATTCCAAAATCAAACAACTGATATAACAACAAAAACTTCAACAAATTATAAAACACATCTGCAAACAATTTATACCAGTAGACTTCTCAATTTTTCAAATCTTTCAAAACCTAAAATGATGAAGATTTTGAAAAGGAACTTGAGGAATTAACAAAATCCTTTTACCAAGTAAATTCTAGTAAGTATCATTTATGTTTTATATTATATTCATTTTTTTATTTTATAATTAATTTATTTATTTTTTATTTTTGATTAGGTGATGATGATGATAATGATGACAATAATGATTTGGATACATCTAATTTGTAAATTTTATTTAATGTTATATATTAAACTAGTGAATACCTGTGCTGTTGAGTATGCATATCTAATTTATTTCAATTTTGGTTGTCAATATCAGGAACATATTAATACTAATAAACTTTGGATCAATATGATATCTAATAAAATTATAACAAAAATATAATTATGTTCAGTGAACATAAATACTAACCTTAATTGTTGCAATAAATTTTGAAAGATATTGTTAGCAATGTAATTTTGCTATGATAAACTTTGAAGGATATCATTAACAGTGCAATGTCAATTAAAATTGTTGCAATAAAATTCTGAAGGATATTGTTGACAGTGCAATGTCAATTAAAATTGCTGCGATAAACTTTGAAAGACATTGACAATACAATGTCAATTAAAATTGCTGCAATAAACTTTGAAGGATATTATTGACAGTGCAATGTCAATTGAAAATTGCAGTGATATAAATGCAAGTGATGACCATTGAAATAATATATTATAAATATATAACATAAATGAAGGTTATTGATACGAATTACTATGAAAATGATAATATTTGCAAAATTTCACATATGAAGACTATGAAAATAATAATATTTGTAAAATTTTGCACATGAAAATATCAAAATTGATAGTCTTTGAAGGTTATCAATATGAATTTACTATGAAAACAATAATATTTGCAAAATTTTACCATGTGAAAATATCAAAATCAATAATCTTTGAAGGTTAGCAAAGACCTTCGAAAGGTAACATATCGAAAAACAGTGAAATACTTATATTAATGTTAACTTTTGAAGATTTTCACTAGAAAAAATTTCCTGATGCATCAATTCCCTCTTTTTGAGTTCCCAAGTTCTCAATGGAGCTCGAACATAAGAAGAGAAGTGTGTTACCATTTTTTTTGTCCTCTTTGTTATTATTGTTGCAGAATGAAATTATTATGAAAAAGTATAGTATATAATACTAAAAACAATTAATAATAATTTTAGAAATAATAATATTTAAAATCCAATTAGTAAATATTAATTCATGTAACAAATAGTGATATTTTAATATTTAGCTAATATTTATAGTGTGTAATACACATTAATTAGTCGCGGAATAGTAGTACAAGATCATGTGTTCACGTGATCTCTAGTTATACAAACATAACTATCAATTCATAACATTAATTATCATTATATAACATTATTTAACAATAATTATTAATATATAGTATTAATTAGTATTAGATATATTTAGTAAATAATATAAAGAATAGTAACCAATAGTAGTAGTGCACAATAAGACACAGTAGTGCACAGTAAGGCACAGTAATGGCACAGTAATGAAGATCATTAGATTTAGATATAAAAAGGAACTGAAATTACCTTGCCCCTCTTTAGTTTACAA